GCCTTAGCGTGAAACTTCAAAGGCACAAATGTCAGCTTCCACAAAACATACAAATTTGAAATTGCTACTCTCTGTTTGTAGTAGCACAGCAAACAAGGAGTAGCAATTTCAAATTTGTATGTTTTGTCGAAGCTGACATTTGTGCCTTTAAAGTTTCACGCTAAGGCTTCCTTAGAGTATCACCTTAAGCTGTGTAGTGAAATTCTCGTGCATTTTTCTAGATATTATTTAAAATACAGTAGAAGTAACCTATGATTCCGGTCCTATGTACATATTTTGGATGTCCAACTTGGTATAAACTTGGTTACATTCAGGACCTCATGAAAATGCGAATACATATTCTATTACATTTGGTTCCTAAATTACAATCAGATATGAGTAAGGGTACGGCCAGGGTAGACGCGATTCACGATGCGACGCGACCAATTCAAAGGAATCTTATTATTTATTATTATTTCTTGCGTGAGTCGCATCGCGTCGCGTGTCGCGTCTACCCTGACCGCCACCTAAGGCTTTCTTCAGGTGACTCATTGAAGCGTCCAACAATGACCGTCATGATGGCTGTTATTCCCTATCACTTCAAGATTTCTAGGGCATAAAGCTTGGACCGTTGTGACTTCACTCATGAAATTGATACTCCTTGTCCTCCTGCAGCAAACGTGAAGTTCCAGTTTCTTTGTTATAAGTTTCGTGAGAGCTGGTATTGGTGCTCTTGAAATGTTTATGTGGTACTGAGCTGAGACTGATCAGAAATGAGGTTTCCTCAGCGATTCAACTTCAAAAAGAATTCACACATCAAAACTGAGTGCACAATTTTGCACCAATGTTATGCAACATTTCGTAGTTCCGGAGAACTTCGAGATTTGGGTGTAATTGCTATTGTAAACAAATATGTCAATCGCTGATTTCTTGCGAATAAAAGCTCAATCTCGCGAACAGACTATTCCAAATGACAGAGGAATCACTCTTCTACATGAGTTTTTATTCGCGAGAAATCGGTGATTGAAGTGTTTGCTTACAAAAGCAATTACGCCCAAATCTCAAATCACTCCGGAGTTGATCGGGATGATCTCGATTAGGCATACATTCCTCCAATAAGTTCTCGGTACATCTTTTATCTACCGATTGAGCAAAAAAAATACTAAATAGAGGAAATGTCTCTAATGTTGGCCTATGGATCTAAGATTGGGCCTAAAAATCTGCTATTTGTCAATGTTATCTAGATGAACGCGTTATTGGGACGTTACTAATGGATATGTTTGGTTGCTATTGAAAATTTAGTCGATTGCTGAATTAATATATGGGCCCAAATTAGGGACACATAGGCCGAAATTTCAATAATAATTCGACAATGAGCATACATAAGGACGTAACCGTGAACGATTTTCTCTTTTGTTAATAACTCGCTTTGATTAAAATTTCTCAGTGCGTTTGCTGTTGCTTTTGATAACCAATACAACCTGCAACAGCACTACAATGAACAAATTTCAGATAATATTTAAGCTGAACATTGCATTAGGTCCTAGTAGCATTGATCGATTCTCTTCGTCGACTTTCTCTTCCGTTAATAACTTAAGCACATAACCGTTTCTTGTATTTGTCGTATTAGATGCTAGATAAAAACTTCTTTTATCGATATGTGTGCTAAAAATACCTGGGCCGAGTGGATTCAAGGAGAAAATTGATTAAGAGAATCTTATCAATGTTACTTAGGACCTAATGCAATATTCAGCTTGAGTTGTTTCGCTAAGCTGTAGCAATGTAAAGAGAAAATCGATGAAGAGAATCGACCATTACAAGTAGGCTCTTTTGAAGCACGATGTGCAACCAAATGGTACTTGATTATCACGACTGGGTTTGGGGAGACCGTTTAACGGGTGGCAACTAAAATTTTGGAATTTTTTCGAGGCCTCTATGCTCAACAACAAACGAGCTCAGAGAGAAATAAGAGTGTGTATGTGTTAGCTCTCTCTCTCCTCTTTCTGCTAGTATTTTCTGTTTTGTTTATGCTTGCTCAGTTTTGCTCAAAATGCCGTCGAAACAAGAAGTATTTCGCGAGCGCGGTGTACAGTTCTACGAACTGCACAGAAATCTCGATAAAGTATACGGTACAACATTTTAAAAGCGAAAATGTTGCGGCTTCGACTGTTTACCATATCCTAAGATCCCCAACAACTGCTCGCAAGCAAGGTAGAGGAAGACCAGCCAAAATTATGGACGCAAAAGGACTTCGTTCTCTTTCTCGTGCCATGGCTCAAGCCCTCTGGTTTGGCAATCAATCAATATGTGTACCAGAACGAATGTTTGAAGAAAATTTTAATCCCGTTTCTACAAAAACATCATACTGATGGACAATACGTGTTTTGGCCGGATAAAGCGTCATCGCATTACGCCAAAAAAACACAATCGTTCCTGAATACCCATTCGATCCCATTTGTACCCAAAAACCTTGTCGGGTTGTGGTTCAGCCTTGCCTCAGTGTCGCCCAATCGAAGATTTCTTCGGGGTTTTGAGCTCCTTGGTGTACAAAAATAACTGGAGAGCCACGAATTGCAAACAGTTGATTGGTAGAATCAAGAGATGCATTCGCAAAGTTGACATGAAGGCCGTACAACGCTCCTGTTCCGACATCAAACGGAAGCTTCGCCGAACATCCGATTACGGACCGTTTTCAAATGTTCACTAATTTTTTTTCAACAATGGACAATGTATCTTTAATTTCAATAAATCAGATCTTCTTCAAGTATGTTTGTCTTTTTTTGACAGCTTGAGAAAGAAATTCCAAAATTTTAGTTGCCACCCGTTATTTCATGAAAACAGTGGTAAAATTATAACCACAGACAAACAGACATAACTCGCAAGTTGTTAATCGAACAAGCATTTAACGGACAATTTAAAAGTATCGTAGTTGTTAGTACCGCCACCTTTGGCGCGCATAGTTGATTCCCTTGCGTTTGACGTTTACACACTACCGCCATCTGTTCAGTGTAGTGCCCACCACAGTGTGCTCAACAGATGGCGGTAATGTTTTAGCGACGATGTTTTACAGTAAGAAATTTTCAATGTGTTATGTCTGTTTGTCTGTGTTATAACTTTTTATTTGTACATTTTTAAAACTCAGTGCCAACATTTCAAAGGGGCGTAATTGCATTTGTAAACAATGGTTTTAGTCGTCGATTTCTCGCCAATGAAAGCTCACTCATAAAAATGAATGACACCAGCAGGTAGAGAAATGTTTCCTGTACCAGCTAGCAGTGGTAATTTGGAAGGGTTGGCTTTAATTTGCGAGAAATCGACGGCTAAAGCCATTGTTTACAAAAGCAATTACGCCCCTTTGAAATGTTGGCACTGAACTGTATTTTTATGAAAAATCGAAAAAAAAAAACGTTTATTGTATCAGCGAGAGTTATTTCCTATCGATTGGTGTATTTGGATTTTAATTTAATCTATAAAGTTATAAGCGTTCAAAACCTTACACCATTTCGTGACGGTGGCAATTTTAGATTTTCGATTTACCCAGTACCTTCCCGTGGTTGAATAAATTCTCCAGATTTGTGTGAACAAAGAGAATTTATTATTAAAAATTGTACAATTATTATTAAGCATACAGTTGAATAAAATCGTCAAGAAGTCGTTTCTTCAATAGGCGATTGTTAGTTGGGTAGCGTCACTATCCATTATAAAAATGGCAACTTAACACATTCGATCGACACACAAGACTGAAACGTCGTCCATCTAACCATAAACCATAAACCTTGTTGATCATCAGGCCTGCATCTTGACCACCCAAGTAACAATTTTGGTTTTATAAGGGTTCTATAGACCATGATTTAGACTTGTAGCATGCTTTTTTTAAACCTCGATAGAACTTGCAATGTTATTGGGCGCTGATCTCTTTTAAAGCGTGAGTAATTAAGGTTATAGGCATATAAGAAGCGCTCATAGTGGGTAAAGGAACTAATTCGTCTGCCATTTATGCAAGCCGTCTCCCATATGAGCACAAGCGCATGAGTTTGCACATGGGTGTAAACTCGTTAATTGTACTTGAGTTCAAACTTGTGTGCAAATGGGCTTGTCCATATTCGCGCATAGCAAGCGGAGAACAAGTGAGTGCAAAACACACGTGAACTTTACACACCAGTTGTACCGTGAAAACAGGCTGTCAGCATATCGAGGCCCAAGGTAGCTGGAAATTTATCCCGTACTACAAGACCGCATTACAAATCCGTATTTCCCTAACACCAATGTTAGATCACTATCCAGGACCTCTGGTGGTAGGTCGTAAACTTTCACGTATCGAACGGTGCCCCCAGCAGGCGACATGTGTACCTCGACTGACTTCCCATCGGAATAATGGAAAATTAATTGTTCACGGTTGTTTAGCAAACAATAAAGCATTGGATCCTCTGTTTTGAACTTGATGAACATAGGTTTTTCCTCCACTATGCGGTATGTAACGATCATCTGAGTGCTCGTTATGTTAATCTGTTAAGCACCCAGGAAAAATCGAGAATTTAATTTTTACATTCATAGCGGTAAGCTCCATCGAGGATAATACGCCAATCTCGTATTATCCTCGATTTTGCACCATGGCACATTATCCTCAATTTAAATCTCGGATTTCACTTTCCAGGATAAACTATTCGAATATAAGGTAAACCGAGAGAGTACTATATACTCCTAAACTGAGTAAAATGTTCGTCGATTTGTATCATATTCGAGCAGATTTTTGAGAAAAAGCGAGGAAAATTTTACTCAGTCTATGAGTGACCACAGTTTTCCGATTATGAGTGAAAAACCACTCAGTTTTTAGTCGATCTCGGTTCAGGTCCAGAGCATATCTTTTGTCTATATTATGCATGCATTATAATCCCTTCAACACATTTTAGGTCATTCGTGACTTCCCAGAACACATTAATGAGCCTATTTCTTATGATTTTCCCCTCTCGATTTCCCACTAATAACACCCCTTTCTCTCTTTTCCTTTCACTCCCTCCCAGGTGTCCCCGGCAAGCGGAACGAAATCTACTACAACTGCTGCCCGGAACCGTACATCGACATCACGTTCGCCATCCTGATCCGGCGGAAGACGCTCTACTACTTCTTCAACCTGATCGTCCCCTGCGTGCTGATTGCGTCGATGGCCCTGCTCGGGTTCACACTGCCACCGGACTCCGGCGAGAAGCTGTCGCTCGGTAAGTTTCAAACCACAACATGCTGTTCGGATGGAGACGCTTGGTCCGGCAGCTCCGACCGATTTAATCTGATATTTACCTACATGCCTACAAGGCGGACGACGGGTGATGACAGCTCGGATAAGCACTCGTTCGTGCTCAGACAGACAGGGCAGGAAATAGTTCGTAATTAGTTTCGCTACCCACCCCGAGAGAACCGAACGGAACGGATCCCTAAATGACAGTATTAACGATAGTTTCCGGTAGTTTTCGTGTTTTCCGTCGCGTCGCCGCCACCGGCTGGGGTCTTTTAACTAGATTAATCGCTGCTTGAAGCCGGCCGGTGTCGTTAACAATGTCGGAAAGCGAAGTGATTTTTTTTCTGTTCCGTCTTGGGCTTCGCTTCTGATGATATTTTTCTTTTTCTTTGTGTTGAGTACGGGCAGTGGGAAGTCAAAGCGAGCGACTAATTGAGCTTGTTATGTTTTAATTAGATGTAATTGGGACGAAGTGGGGAAAGTTTTTCGGTAATTGTTTGGAGATAATTGCAGTCACATGTGACGAGGAGAAGTATGATTTCCAAAATTGTTAGAAGTTTCCTTCAGTTATCACATGGCTGACGGGGGGACGTGTTTGGAACCGTTAACCGAACTTGAACATCCAAAACCGTCCAATAAATAATCAAAACTTTTCTGCTCTCCCGGAAACCGAACTACGTCAGAATCAAACTTGCAGAAGGCCAAAAGGCCAATCGAATAAATTTGGACGAAAATTATTCTCGAAAGAATGCTTCCGTTTTCGCCGTCTCCCAACCAAACAGCTGTTCCCATGGTACGGGACGAAACTTTTGTCCCCATTCCGAAGTGCCACCAGCAGCAGCAGGCTCCAGTGTTGTAGGGCAGGGAATCGATAAATTAGAAATTCCAACCGAAGAAGCGTATGCTCTCTCTCTACACTGTAAATTTCCATCCTCTGGTGAGTTTGTAGTAGGGTAAAAAAAAAACATTGTCCCATCCCCTTGTGCCCGATCTATGTATATTTTCCGTTTGCTTTGCGGTGTGCATAAACTGAAGAGGGATGATGCAGCAATTGGAAATTTTTGGGAATTCGGGTGGCTTACTCACCAAAGCAAACGCTGCTACCTACTAGGAAAGGGACTTTTCGGCCGGGGAAAAATTGGCTCGGTGCCATCATCGCTTTTCGAGAAACTGAAAAAAAGAAAAACCAAGGGAGAATTGGGAACACACGTTTCTTTCACCGGGAAAATGAATGGGAAGAAAAATTACGACCCACTGGACGCAGGAGGATGATGACGATGGGACACCGAAAGGACGCGTCGGGGGGCATCGGAGGGGAGGTGGCCGATTTATTATCTTCGATGCAAATGCAGGTTTTTCTTCTGTTGTTGGACCTGCATCCAGGTTCAATTATTTCCTCAGTGTTCGGAGTGTTGTAACTTTTTTTTTGGCTTTGCGATTTTTGGGTATGTCGGTTCTAATATATGTCCCTGGAAGAGAGAAATAAAAGGTGAAACCAGGAAGAATGTGCAGTGTCCGCGCTGTAAATATACAGGAGTTGACAGTTGGCAAAAATGTTTGCTTCAGCGGTTTGGAATCCTATCTGGAATTCTTACGGTTCTTTCGCTTCATTGAATTTGCACTAATAGGTGGCGTTTGATTTTGCCACCGTAGACATTCGTATTCCCCTAATCCATGGTAAATGAATAGGCGTATCACGATCTCGTGGTCATCAGATCATTGAGACTAGATTCTAATTCAGGAGAGAAGGTTAAAGTTCAAATCTTGTTGTAGTTCAAAATTAATGTAACTCATCTAAGAGAACCGTTGCAACAAAAACAAAGGTGGACAAATTAGAGGCCCTGCATTAATTATGTCATGCTAAATTGATGAAAAATTTATCTCTCCTCCCTACTTTCCATACGTTTTGCCTATAACTGATGCATTGCTTTTCACAAAATCTTACTTACCTTAAAGCGTATCAAGTGGAATGAGGCATGATTGATATACAAATAGGGTAAAAATTTACTTCGGCCTAATCACCCATTTTCGTCCCATTGGGCAGAAAACATCAAATATATGTTGGGGTCCAACTCGCATCATGCAAGTCAGACACAGAGTATGCTTCAAAATATAATTAACTAAACTCACTTTCACTTTCTTCTGGATTTCAGATTAATGAGGACAACCATGTCGCTCAAGGGTTGCAACAGTTCTGATTAATCCATTCTTTTAGTTTGGTGCTAACAAGCTAACAAATACATTTACACTTACTTACCTTACCAATCGGGCTAAGGCCTTGTTGTCCCCTGCTGTCCGAAGAAGTCGTCTCCACTCTACTCGATCCATGGTCACACTTCGCCAGCTTCGTAGTCTGCGAAGGGTCCGCAGATCGCCTTCTACTTGGCACGATTCCCTGCCACAATGTGTCTTTGAATTTCTCTGCTGGTATTATTTTCGGCGGTCACCAGTAAACCCAAATACACGAACTCACCGACAACGTCGATTTCGTCCCCGTCAATCTGAACTCCGGGTGGGAGGTTAACATTGTCTTCCCTAGAACCTCTTCCTTTCATGTATTTTGTCTTTGATGCGTTGATGGCAAGCCCAATCTGCCTAACTTCAGCCTTCATTCTTATGTACGTTTCTAGCCATCATCTCAAAGTTCCGTGCCATGATGTAGATATGATCGGCGAAGCCAAAAAGCTGGATGGACTTCCTGAAGATCGTGCCACTCGTGTCTATCCCTGCTCTTCTGATCAGAGATGTTGAATAGCAGACACGAAAGTCCATCACCTTGCCGTATACCCCCTTCGAGATTCAAAGAGACTTGAGAGTGTCCCCAGTATTCGAACAACGCACATCACTCGACTTAATCAATCACGTCAAGGCAATCCGGAAATCCGTACTCGTGCATAATCTGCCATAGCTGATCTCGATCGATTGTGTCGTATGCGGATTTGAAATCGATGAACAAATGATGTTTGGGCACGTTGTATTCGCGGCATTTCTGCAGAACCTGCCGAATCGCGAAAATTTGGTCCGTAAATAGCACGAGCACCCATGAATCCCGCCTGGTATTACGACACCTTCCATGCACTCCTCCGGTAATATCTCCTACTACCAAATCTTGGCAATTGCCCAGTGCAGCGCTCTAGCCAGTTGCTCACCACCGTATTTTAATAGCCTACTTGGTAGTTGCTTTGTTGTTCTTCATCCGACCGATCGCCTCCTCAACTTCTTGAAGATCAGGGACCGATAGTCTGTCGTCTTCTGCGCGTGCTCCAAGGTATGTTTGTTGCGATTAGATTTGGAATTTTGATAATTTACCTGCAGAGTTATGTCAGTTAAACAATTTTGAACTAATTTCATAATATAAAGTGGAAAATTAAACTTTTTCAATTTAGCAATCAAACCTTCATGCCAAACACTGTCGAATGCTTTTTCTATGTCTAGAAGAGCAACTCCAGTTGAGTGGCCTTCAGATTTGTTTGAACGAATTAAATTGGTAACTCTTAAGAGTTGATGAGTAGTTGAATGCCCATGGTGAAATCCAAACTGCTCATCTGCAAAAATTTAGTTCGTATTGATGTGAAGCATCATTCTATTTAAAATTATCTTTTCAAAAAGTTTACTTATTGAAGAAAGCAAACTTATTGGACGGTAAATAGAAGCTTCAGCTGGATTTTATCCGGCTTCAAAATTGGAACAACTTTTGCATTTTTCCATTTATCAGGAAAGAATGCCAAATGGAAACATATGTTTAATAATTTTACCAAGAAAGACAAGGTACTCTCTGGGAGTTTTTTGATGAGGATATAGAAAATTCCACCATCCATCATGGAGCTTTCATATTTTGAAACTTTTTAGTTATAGACCTTACTTCGTCCAAATCAGTCCCCCAGGAATCATCAAAAATATTTTCCCGAGAGAAAATATTCAGATAATTCCGAGCAACCTGATTCTCAATAGGACTAGTAAGACCCAAACTGAAATTATGGGAACTCTCGAATTGCTTAGCAAGATTCTGAGCTTTTTCCAAATTTGTGATCAAAATTTTACCACCTTCTTTAAGCGCTGGAATAGGCTTTTGAGGTTTTTCAAAATTTTTGTGAGTTTCCAAAAGGGTTTGGAACTCGGGTCTAATTTAGAAGCATTATTTTCAAAAGTTTTGTTCCTCAGGGCAGAGAATCGCTTTTTAATTTGTTTTTGCAAATCCCGCCAGATAACTTTCATGGCAGGATCGCGTGTTCTTTGATATTGTCTCCTACGGACATTTTTAAGACGGATCATGAGCTGAAGATCATCGTCTATTATAATTGAATCGAATTTAACCTCGCATTTTGGTACTTAGGCAGTTCTTGCTTCAACTGTAGAAGTAGTCAGAGATTCAAGAGCATAATGAATTTCATCTTTGGTTTGCAAAGGAATGTTTGGATCGAAGTTATATTCCATAAATGTTCGATATTGCTCCCAATCAGCCCTATGGTAATTGAAAGTAAAGCTGTTGGGATTAGAAATTATTTCTTGGGATATTTCAAAAGTTACTGGAAGGTGATCAGAACCGAAGTCAGCATGGGTAACCAATTGGCTACAAAGATGACATGAATCAGTTAAGACCAAATCAATAGTTGAGGGATTTCTTGCAGAAGAAAAGCATGTTGGGCTGTTTGGATATTGAATAGTGTAATAACCTGCAGAACAATCATCAAACAGAATATTACCATTGGAATTGCTTTGAGCATTATTCCATGAGCGGTGTTTTGCATTAAAATCACCAATAATGAAGAATTTAGACCTATGACGGGTAAGTTTCTGGAGGTCACCCTTGAGAACATTCTTTTGCTGGCCTACGCATTGGAATGGCAAATAGGCAGCTATAAACGTAAGTTGTCCAAATTTTGTTTCAACAGAAACTCCCAAAGTTCCAAAAACTTTGGTTTCAAATGAAGAAAGAATTTTATGTTTGATTCGTCTATGAACAATGATGGCAACGCCACCACA